TGCATGTACCCCCTATATCAGTGGCCTTGATCCTAGTTGAAAACCCCTTCCCAATGTCTCCTAGATTTGTTTTGCAAGTGTACACTGCCTGTGGCATTTTGGTTCATTCCCGGCATCTGGATGATTATATCAGTGGCCAACCCAAAAGATGGGAACCCAAAAGAAGCGTTGGAGAAGATGGCAGGACCGGAAGATGGAGTGAGAAGGGACAGCATCGATCTACCAGCAATGGGGGATGACAAACAGCGAAGATAATCTGCCATCATGTGCTAGTACACTGAGTGCAACTGTACATTATGGCAAGAGCCCTGCAGCCATAGAGTTCTACTATAAACACCATCTACTGTACATTGACACTCCAAAGACACTCATAGAAAGCCACACCCACTGCACCAAAGCCCCGCCCCTTCTGCACCGTGCACCCAACAGTATATAGAGAGAGACAAATACAGAACCCTTGAACACTCATAAAATGTAACATTTGTTAAGCCACATAATTTCCAGCACCGAGCGTCTGCCTGTAAAAAGAATGATGTAACATTATCATAGAAAAGTATTTGTTTCATAGAAAACATTTCAAAATTCTTTCTTGGCATCAGTTACTATGGAAACACAATGTTATTGAACAAATACTCTTAATTAAAGGCACAAGTGACCTAGATTTGACCTGAAATATACATGAAATACTTTGCTGTCATTCAGTGATATGGGGTGGCCTTGTAAGCGCCGGTCCCTAGAGTGGAACTTAAAACTGCATTATAGAAGAAATGGCGCATAATCAGTTTATATATAATAGGAGGAGAACATTGGAAAGGACGATTTACAGCAAGGCCATCATGCAAAATTCCCCAGCACTTAGCCCTGCCAGCAAAGCGGCCCTAATGTAAAACCTAATTGCAGCATTTTATTCAAAGCTAAGGTCTCGGCAGCATACATTCACAAATAATTGGTCAAAGTGACCTATCGCACCTATGTAAACTATAGCCACACACTACCAGGAAAGAACCAGTAATACCAAATATCTAGCATTCAATGAACTGAAAGCAAACTTATGTATACTAACCTCCTCCCGTGACCCAAAGCTCAGTATATCGCGAGCTACAGCTTACGTTATACTGAGACCGCCGCCGCAGGGACAAATACCGCCATTACTGTCGAGATCCACCCAGCTGCGTGAGTGACTGCTGGCTCTGCCTATCTAGAGTGACAGTCATGTCTCGAGCGGTAACTGTCATGAGTGACAGTCACCGCTCTGCGGGGACATGATCGATATGAACGATAAGTAAGCGAGCGATGCTATGTGTTCGCTCACTTCCCGATCTATTGAGCTGACATGTGACAGTTTCATTGTCACATGTTGGCTCGAACTATGAGGATGAGTGAAAATCACTCACCTCATAGTTCTCCTTTAAGGCTACCTCGCCCCTCCTCAAAGGACACCGGTGACTTCCCACAAACTGGCCTCCAAACTTGGACATGACACCATTAGGTGCTTCTGAAAAACATCCTTATAAGTTGACATACAAAATGAAGTTGAAGTCACCATAAAATGCAAGATGACTTAAAGCAACTACAAATCATGAGAATATTTCACAGGCGCTGGTAGGAGTCTCTTCTGATCCTTCATGATAGATGCAACTTGATTTGTAGGTAGCTCACTAGATGACGGAGACCTCTTTTGCAGCTCTAATCCGAGAACCCCGGGGGTGGTACAGGTGTGCAAGGATAAGAGTGGCATGATTGATGGTGACAAGTGAAATCCAAGGCTAGCCGGGTCAGCAATGGCCTGGCAGCCAGGCAAATCGTAGACGGAGAAAGGTCGAACCAGCATCTTGGCAGCGTAGTTCAAAGCATTAGATATGAGTGTGTTTAGAGCTGAGCTGAGGTCAAGGATTCCAGAAGATCAGAGGGAAGGTCAAGCAAGCCGATTCGGTAACAGGAGATCAATTGAGATGCAGGATGCAGGGTACAGGCACAGGCAACAGCTGAAGACCAGTCAGCATTGGAGGCAAGGATGTCACAGCCTTAAGTAGCCTGTATGGTGCCAACATTTGCTAAGGGCATGTGCGCACACCATGAGACATGCACACAGTGGCGTGTGCAGTTCTTTGAGCCAAACTATGCCCGTGCTCATGTGCAGGTGTTCAAGCAGAACCCAAGGCGCATGGGCCGGTCTGGCTTCCTGACAGGTAGCAAATCCAGGACTGAAAACAGAAGAGCGCCAGACCATAATGGCTGTCTGAGTCCATATAAAAGTTTAATAATTATGTTGCTCAAACAGCCAAAACGTTTCAGGGGCAGACACAACCCCCTACCTCTGGGCTTGAAAATGATTAGAATGAAGGAATGGACGTTGAGTACAAAAACTGAGAATTTAGAACTTATTGCAGCTATGGGTAATTCTCCCAAAATTTGTAGATTGCAGGCAGTGATCTGGAGACGTTTTTGTACGTTATTTGTTGGCCTGCAGAGCTATGTATCATCTTGAAATAGTTACCAATGTGATGTTATAATGTAACAAGTTTGTCTGCTCAAGTTAAAGAAGAGGTTTGCACTGCAACCTTTGTTTTTCATATATACAGTATGTATTAGCCATAAGGTTATGACCACCCACCTAATATTGAGTAGGTCCCCCTTTTGCCACCAAAATAGCCCTTACCTGTCAAGGAATGAACTTCACTAGACCTCTGAAGGTATGGTGTGGTATATGGTACCAAGCCACCAGTAGCAGATGCTTTAGGTCCTGTAAGTTGTGAGGTGGAACTGCTATGGATCAGATTTGGTTTTCCAGCACACCCCACAGAAGCTCGATTGGATTGAGATCTGGAGAGTTTGGAGGCCAAGTCAACACCTCAAATTTGCTGTGTTTCTCAAACCATTCTTGAACCATTTTTGCAGTGTGGCATTTCACATTATCCTGCTGCAAGAGGCCATTGCCATCAGGAACCACTTGGACCACTTTTAGTAGCTCCTGACCACTGCAGATTGTTAACATGCCACAAGAGCTACAGTTTTGGAGATGTTCTTACCCAGTTGTCTAACCATCACAATTTGGCCCTTGTCAAAGTCACTCACCCTTACGCTTACCCTTTTTTTTCTGCTTCCAACACCTCAACTTCAGGGACAAAATATTAACTTGCTGCCTAGTATATCCCACCCACTTCCAGGTATCATTGTAATTATATTTCATATACTGTATCTATCTATGCCGCCTTGATTCAATTACTAGGCTGTGGGCACTCAGTCTGTACCGGCTCAGGATCTGTCTGTCTTTGGGGTCTTGTAGTACCTCCAGGTTTGGGGCCGGTTTGTATTCTCTCTGTAATAAATGGTAAATAGTGAGTTTCTAGGAGTTTGCTATTTCATTTCTCCATTCTCCTACAGTATATACTGTAGTTTTCTTTGGAATCATTCATTATGTCCTTTTATTCAATATTTTGTCAGGCTGCATTCATGGGAGCTTTGGATGGACAAGGTGCTGATGAGTTGTTGCAGCCTGCATGGTTTGGAGTGGTCCTTGTTGGCCAGTAGGACTTTATGGTGGTATGAGTTGGGGGTGCTGTTGTTGTTGTTGTTGTTTAGGTGGTCCCAGTATAATAGTGCCCTCTTCTGTACAGCAAGAAGTAAAGAAGGGGAATTTGCCCAGCTCAGCCTGGCAAGCATTGTTAGAGGTGCTCCGATGGGCTCTCTCTCTCTCTCTCTGTCTCCACCCACCTCCACCTGTAAGTTTGTCCCTCTCTCCCCTATTCTCTCTCTCTCCGCTCTCTCTCTCTTTTCTCTCTCTTCTCTCTCTCCCTCCTCTCTCCCGCTCTTGTGCTCTCTCTCTCTCTCTCTCTCTCTCTCTCTCTTTCTCTCCTCTCCTCTCTCCTCTCTCCTCTCCTCTCTTATCTCTATCTCCCCTCTCTTCACTCTTATCTCTATCTCCTCTCTCTTGACTCTTTCCTCTCTCTTCTTTCTCTTCTTTCTCTCCTTTTCTTCTCTCTCCTCTTCTTTCCTCTCTTCCCTTCTCTCGCTCTCTCTCCGCTCTCTCTCTTCTTTCTCTCTCCTCTCTTTTCTCTCGCCCCCCCCTCTCTCTTCTCGATCTCTCTCTCACCCCTCCCTTTCCTCTCACTGCTCGCTCTCTCTCTCTCCCCCTCTCTTTTCTCTCGTTTTCCTTCCTCTCTCTTCTTGTTTATTTTCATATTCATTTATAATTGTATAAAAAAATGTTTTTAACTTTCTCCTTGTTGTTAGCAATTTGAACACATTTATTGTGTTGTTGGTATTTGACTCCATTATTCTCAGGATGGATTTCATACATTCATTAAACTCCTAACAATAATAATAATTGCCATACGATTCTGCACCCCTAAACCAGTGCCAGTCAGGCTGCACATAGTTAACAAGAGCCCCTTTTGTTTTCAGGAAGCCTGAATAGAGAGGTTAATAGCAGAACTTATTCCTGCGAGTGCCATGGCCATCCTCTGCTTTATTGTTCTAGTCTTTAATCCGAGACTTCCAGCTGGCACAGGCAGCTGGCACACACAGGAGGAGATAGATGTGAGGGGGGACGTACAAATCAATGCCTCTTCATGTGGATGCTCTGTGGTCCAGGCTGGGATCAATGCAGGTTGCAATCTCCTTCTCTCCAGCCTCCCCCCACCCCTCCCTTCTGTATGCTCTCTCCTGTGATGCTGCAGGCAGTGGCACTATCAGCTGCATGGAATAAAACTGGATACCTTTCCCTCTACAAGGCACACAGCAATGTCTGCAAATCTGCAACAGGATTAAGGGGCTGCTGATAACAAATCCCTGCTTTATCTCACAGCGAAATCACCGGCTCTCTATGCACAGTTTAGCAAATCCATTCCCCTTTCTACTTTCGTGCAGCCAGGGAGCCTTTGCATGATTGTACTTCTCAGAACGCATAACAGACAATTAAGCTGGGGGAGAATGCAGATAGAACACTGCTTTTAGACTGGGTCTTATTAGGGATAGACTGGGCTAAGTGGGTGCCCCCTCCCCCCTACACTGATCTGCAATGCTGTGCGGGTGCCCACTTGACACCAGCTGGGCAGCGCTCCACTCCTGGTACCCAAGCCTTGGATGCTGCTGATCCGGAGGATGGAGCTGTCCTAGGTCTGAGCTGACCTGCTCTCTTGGCTTCTGAAAGGTACTGTACTCTTCCTATTCTAAACTCCAAATAACAGCCCCTCTTGGAGACGATCAACTTCCACAGCCTGTCCAGTCGATGCAGGTCGGTGATCTAATTTGCACTCTCACCTCCTTATGACCTTGCAGATATTGATGGATTGAGGAAACTTGGATAGCGCCCTCTCCAGCCGATCAATGCACACGGCCAATGAAATGGCAGCATTCTGGGGCTAATTTGTATGCATGGCTTGGAGTTCTCAATGTTTGACCCTGAGACGCAGAATTGTCGGCTCACCCACTGGTGACTTTGTCATGCATTTTATGTTCTATATCTACAGCATAGGACACATTTATAAAGCAGTAAATGTGACTTTCACCAGACATTGGAGATACTTACATTATCCAACAATACAAAAGTACAAATTGTATTGTACACAGTACAAATGTATTGTATTGTTGGATACTATAAGTATGATAAGTAGGATGTGGTGTAGGTTCCATATGTGCTTTCCATTTTTCTTGGCTCGTTTCATTAAACATTCACTAATGGTGAATCAACTACTGTCATTTAAAATGTATGAACTTTGAGGATGCATTGCTTTATACATATGTCATATCTATATTTAGAATGCTGGTGTTCTATATGTTCTGATCAAAGGTTCCATGAATCAATATTTAGGCAGCCTTTGGATAGTAGCAGTGCCGAATCTAGACAAACTGTCACCCGGAGCAAAGGCTCAGAGTTGCTCCCCCCACAACAGAGAAGTTCTCCATCCACACACCCAGTGGCAGCCCCTCCTAAGGCCCGGTGCACACCTAGGCGATCTGTGACCACACAGCAATCATCCACAATACTGAGGGGATTGACGCGCGGTCACAGAGTCGCCCATCACAGACTATCGTGCTGTGGGTGCCATTATTTCTAATAAGACACCTGTTGCGTTGTGCGCATCACGCGGTTTCCCACCGCGATTCTGCCTGTGCATCCGAACGCGATCGTGGCTAAAACAGAAAGATACATGTACCTTTTTTCTGCGATTGCCACACGGATGTAACCCTATTGAAATCAATAGGGCCGCGCAGCAATCTCTGTCTGCAATTGTGGAGGACTGCGCAATCCCGGTCTGCATCGGGCCTAAAGCGGCATCCGGGGCACATGCCCCCCCCAGCTGTGGCCCTGGATAGGAGCTCTTTAGAAGCCTTATTTTTTTCTAAGTCCTTTGAGCTAAGCAAAGGCCAGAATAAAATGCTACATACTGTATATTGCACAGCCATTCTCTAAGACTTAATTAAAGGAAACCTGTACTGAGAAAAATAAGTTGACATTGCTTAACATTCTTCTGAAAACGCTAGTTACCTGACCGTTTCTGAGTCACTGACATGTAACCAATAGGAATCTAGTGAATGAGAAAAGTCACAACTCCTCGTATTTCCAGGAAAGCTTTGATAAGTATAAGAACCAAGCAAATGGCATTTTCAAAAAGAGAGCTCATAATTGTCAGGCAATTTATTTTCTCTGTGCGTTTTCCTTTAAGGATATCTGTAAAAAATAAATCAAGGCAACTGGACTTGCTGTAATTTTTTTGAAGATGTTTTGCTGGTCATCCAACCAGCTTTCTCAATTCAGAAATTTTGACCTGCGAAAACTAGCCGGATGACCAGCGAAACGTCTTCAAGAAAAATACAGCAAGTGCAGTTGCTTTGATTTATTTTTTATAGATATACCATGACCTGGATGAATGAGACATTTTCGCAGACATTTTTCTTTGAAGAGCCCAATCACTAGCCTACCTGTATAGCCATTAACGGCGGCATTATATTGCAATGAATCTCAGATGAAATACAATGAAGGCATTCCATCTTGGTCATAAAATAACTAATAAAGCAGTGCAAAGACTAATACAGTATTACTCACAGCAAACGAATTTCATTACACTGTAGTCAGGTTAGATAAGGAAAAGTTATCACATTGGTTGCTATGGTCACGGCACTTTGCACTTCCTGAAATAAATCTAGGCAAAGAGCAATGATGGGGAACAAAGCGTTGTAGCCCATAGCAACCAATGAGCTTACGTTTACTAATTCTGGGTAATCCAAACATGACTATTGGTATTAATGGGTTGCTGCCCATGGCACCTTGCATCCTGTATCTTAACCCCTTCATGACTGAGGCCTTTTATTCATTTTTTGCACCTATGTTATATTCCACATTTTAGGCCTGAAAAAAATTACTTAAAACCCCCCAACATTATATATTTTCTGAAAGCCAAGACCCTATAGAATACAATGGTGGCAAATTTTTATGTTGCACGATATTAGCACAACTCCTTATCAAACCCCAAAATCTAGTGAAAAAATGCACTTAAATGCCCCAAAACACAATAAAATACCAATTTTTTTAAAATAAAAGATGAGGTTACAACGAGTAAATAGATAACCAACATGTCCAGGTTAAAACAAAATTCAGTACCCCTAAAAGTCCATAGACGACGCTTTAAAATCCCCCACAGGTCATCAGTTTTAACTTCCACAGCCTGTCCAGTCGATGCAGGTCGGTGATCTAATTTGCACTCTCACCTCCTTATGACCTTGCAGATATTGATGGATTGAGGAAACTTGGATAGCGCCCTCTCCAGCCGATCAATGCACACGGCCAATGAAATGGCAGCATTCTGGGGCTAATTTGTATGCATGGCTTGGAGTTCTCAATGTTTGACCCTGAGACGCAGAATTGTCGGCTCACCCACTGGTGACTTTGTCATGCATTTTATGTTCTATATCTACAGCATAGGACACATTTATAAAGCAGTAAATGTGACTTTCACCAGACATTGGAGATACTTACATTATCCAACAATACAAAAGTACAAATTGTATTGTACACAGTACAAATGTATTGTATTGTTGGATACTATAAGTATGATAAGTAGGATGTGGTGTAGGTTCCATATGTGCTTTCCATTTTTCTTGGCTCGTTTCATTAAACATTCACTAATGGTGAATCAACTACTGTCATTTAAAATGTATGAACTTTGAGGATGCATTGCTTTATACATATGTCATATCTATATTTAGAATGCTGGTGTTCTATATGTTCTGATCAAAGGTTCCATGAATCAATATTTAGGCAGCCTTTGGATAGTAGCAGTGCCGAATCTAGACAAACTGTCACCCGGAGCAAAGGCTCAGAGTTGCTCCCCCCACAACAGAGAAGTTCTCCATCCACACACCCAGTGGCAGCCCCTCCTAAGGCCCGGTGCACACCTAGGCGATCTGTGACCACACAGCAATCATCCACAATACTGAGGGGATTGACGCGCGGTCACAGAGTCGCCCATCACAGACTATCGTGCTGTGGGTGCCATTATTTCTAATAAGACACCTGTTGCGTTGTGCGCATCACGCGGTTTCCCACCGCGATTCTGCCTGTGCATCCGAACGCGATCGTGGCTAAAACAGAAAGATACATGTACCTTTTTTCTGCGATTGCCACACGGATGTAACCCTATTGAAATCAATAGGGCCGCGCAGCAATCTCTGTCTGCAATTGTGGAGGACTGCGCAATCCCGGTCTGCATCGGGCCTAAAGCGGCATCCGGGGCACATGCCCCCCCCAGCTGTGGCCCTGGATAGGAGCTCTTTAGAAGCCTTATTTTTTTCTAAGTCCTTTGAGCTAAGCAAAGGCCAGAATAAAATGCTACATACTGTATATTGCACAGCCATTCTCTAAGACTTAATTAAAGGAAACCTGTACTGAGAAAAATAAGTTGACATTGCTTAACATTCTTCTGAAAACGCTAGTTACCTGACCGTTTCTGAGTCACTGACATGTAACCAATAGGAATCTAGTGAATGAGAAAAGTCACAACTCCTCGTATTTCCAGGAAAGCTTTGATAAGTATAAGAACCAAGCAAATGGCATTTTCAAAAAGAGAGCTCATAATTGTCAGGCAATTTATTTTCTCTGTGCGTTTTCCTTTAAGGATATCTGTAAAAAATAAATCAAGGCAACTGGACTTGCTGTAATTTTTTTGAAGATGTTTTGCTGGTCATCCAACCAGCTTTCTCAATTCAGAAATTTTGACCTGCGAAAACTAGCCGGATGACCAGCGAAACGTCTTCAAGAAAAATACAGCAAGTGCAGTTGCTTTGATTTATTTTTTATAGATATACCATGACCTGGATGAATGAGACATTTTCGCAGACATTTTTCTTTGAAGAGCCCAATCACTAGCCTACCTGTATAGCCATTAACGGCGGCATTATATTGCAATGAATCTCAGATGAAATACCATGAAGGCATTCCATCTTGGTCATAAAATAACTAATAAAGCAGTGCAAAGACTAATACAGTATTACTCACAGCAAACGAATTTCATTACACTGTAGTCAGGTTAGATAAGGAAAAGTTATCACATTGGTTGCTATGGTCACGGCACTTTGCACTTCCTGAAATAAATCTAGGCAAAGAGCAATGATGGGGAACAAAGCGTTGTAGCCCATAGCAACCAATGAGCTTACGTTTACTAATTCTGGGTAATCCAAACATGACTATTGGTATTAATGGGTTGCTGCCCATGGCACCTTGCATCCTGTATCTTAACCCCTTCATGACTGAGGCCTTTTATTCATTTTTTGCACCTATGTTATATTCCACATTTTAGGCCTGAAAAAAATTACTTAAAACCCCCCAACATTATATATTTTCTGAAAGCCAAGACCCTATAGAATACAATGGTGGCAAATTTTTATGTTGCACGATATTAGCACAACTCCTTATCAAACCCCAAAATCTAGTGAAAAAATGCACTTAAATGCCCCAAAACACAATAAAATACCAATTTTTTTAAAATAAAAGATGAGGTTACAACGAGTAAATAGATAACCAACATGTCCAGGTTAAAACAAAATTCAGTACCCCTAAAAGTCCATAGACGACGCTTTAAAATCCCCCACAGGTCATCAGTTTAGAGACACACAAAAATACTGGCCCTTATTGCTCTCACTCCGGAGTGCGCG